CAGCCTATGTATCTCGCGCCGTGTGCACCGGAACAGTTGGAGCACTTGCGGTTACTTTTCGGCTTTTTGAAATTAGTGTCAGTTTTGGCTAGCGGGCACTCCTTGAATTCGTGGTCCCCAGAACAGTATCTGCACGATTGGCTGCTGCGGCAGGACGAGGCTGTATGCCACGCCCTATTGCAGCGTGAGCACTGCATGATGTCTGAGGTGTTGGTCTCAGGCTGCCGCTGCTTGTGTAGGCGGGGGGCCTTGCGCCACTACTGAGGCGGCTTCAGGCGCCCTGAAAGGGCGGCTCTCTGTGCTGGTGATCTTGGTGTGTCAGTTCTAGAACTGGCTGTCGTTCTACGCGTAGTTTCCATTTTCTGTGGTAATTGGTAAAGTTCTCGATTGTTTTTAGAGGTTAAACTCACGCCCTAAGTCACGGTTTAAAATGTTTATAAGGTAGATTATAATTACATAGGGCGTTGTTCCTTCCTCTGGTGATGCTTGGCTACACTGGTCGATCGTGTTGCTGGTAGCTATCGTTTTGCTAGGTGCGTACACAGGCTGCTAATGACCCAAACGTAGCCGACCCCGATAGCTTAGTCGAGACAGACTCAGCTGAATATCAAGCGAATCGGTGTCCAGTATCTAGCTATCGAGAATCAGGGAACGAATGGATAGTTAGCAGGCGACGTGGCGAGGCGAGCTGCTTATTTGGGCGTTCAGCGAGTGGGCGTTGAATATTGATTGTGCGTACAGCACAGCGATGTGATGATGATAAATCCTACTGACTGGCAGAAAGGTTTAAATACCCGTATCCATCGGCCCACTTGCCAGAGTGTTGGGGCGAAACAGGTGAAGCCATGCCTAATGCATGTCCCTCCATACGGCAGTGCTAAACGCACAAATGAACCAAAGTTAAAGGTGTCTAACGTGATGAAGAAGAATGTACCTATTTGTGTAGCACAAATAAACAAGACCACAAATATAGCCGGAGACTGTTGGCAGCTTCGGCTAACTACCAGCAGGTTGAACGTGCTTGATTTTTCTTAAAGGAATTGTAAATTGAAATTAACCGTTGCCCTAAAGAGGTTTTTCCGGAGCAACATTTGTAGCTTAAGGGAGGAAGAGGACACCACACAAATAAGGCAACTACATGTTCCATGAAACAATGGCCACAGTCGTCCTAGAGATCGTCTTCCATTGAAGTCAGAGCAAATCTGCCTGAGAAGCAGGAAACAAAGTAAAATGGATGTACACACAAAACTCAGGTCTTGGTCCAAGGTCAGTAGTCCAAATGAACGAACAACCAAGACTTTCCCCCGGAATTCACAGCCGTGAACAAGAATAATAAAAAAGAAGGAACCTTTCGCTGGCTGCTGAAGATAGGGACCGAGGGGCTTTTGAGAATGTCATGAGGGCTGTGATGTCAGTTGTTAACTCAGATTAATTCAAATCACTCAGTTAAGAAGAAAATGGAGACAAACTTAAATGCTAAAGAGAAATTATTGGATACCTTGGATATAGAACAGGAAACAAACTGATTTTCTAAAAGAATAAAAAGACACACAAAAACAGCTTCACGCCTGGGAAACCTAAATATATGCCTTTGTGGTTTTAAAAATTACAGAACTAGAAAAAATATTTCCCGGAAGACAAGGCCACCATCAAGATTGATACAGGATATCAGAGATGCCAGGGACAAGAAAATATATAAGGCAGTAGACCAACCTCAAGATTGATACAGGATATCAGAGATGCCAGGGACAAGAAAATATATAAGGCAGTAGACCAACCTCAAGATTGATACAGGATATCAGAGATGCCAGGGACAAGAAGAAAATATATAAGGCAGGAGTAGACCAACCTCAAGATTGATACAGGATATCAGAGATGCCAGGGACAAGAAGAAAATATATAAGGCAGGAGTAGACCAACCTCAAGATTGATACAGGATATCAGAGATGCCAGGGACAAGAAAATATATAAGGCAGTAGACCAACCTCAAGATTGATACAGGATATCAGAGGTACACCCAACTCAATCTTGTCGACACACACACAAAACAAAGAAGACCCGCATGGAACTGTTTTGTTTATTTGAAAAGCCTCACACACACATACAAGCACTAGGAACTAACTGTAGTCTAACATCAGTAAGATACATCAACCAAAATCTGTCCTTCAGTAAACATTTTTCTGACCAATACAAACTAATGGCTAGTGCCACTCTCAGCTTATCGAGCTAATCAAGCCTATCCTATACAGATGCATTTTACTGTTAAAAAAAAAAAAAAAAAAAAAAAAAAAAAAAATTCAATCAGAGAAGAACAATTAATGATTGTAGTAATACTTACAATTTTTACAGAAGTAAAAAAAAAAAAAAAGAAATGATTGTAGACAAAATCAACTACCTACACTAAAACAAAAATGTTGCAAGTATTTCAAGGATTGCATCAGCAGTACTACAAATAGAAAAAATAGCCTGCTGTTGAGTGGTAGCCTATCAACCCACACACACAAAAAAAAAGTTAAGATCCCTTTTCATGCCTCAAGTGCATCGGGTATATGGAAAGAGCGTCCCATATTTTTACAGACCAATCGGCACTGGATGGGTAATGTGGTCAGCATTACGCCGGCCGTCTCAACTTCCCCAGGACAGCCATCCTGGTACCCAGTTTAGGCTGGGTCGACCTGCGAAGCCCCATACCATGATAAAAATCCACGCAGCCAGCAGTGGGTTTCGATCGTGGTATGTTGGATTATGAGCCGGACTCGCAACGTCTAAGCCACAGACGCCGCACACACATTCAATGAGGCCCCTACAATGAAGAACTGTGGCACTAACTGTGATAACGGCTGCTGATCAAGCCACAGCTGCAGTGAAATCTCTGCTGGTATATCTCAAGTTCACTGAAGTAACAGATCAAAGAAGCCACACAGGGGTGCGCTGCAATCTAATCAAAAATCAATTTCCCATGACCAACATCTGGTACTCTGAGTTAAGTAGCCTCATCCAGACTTATACCTGTGTTCCCAGTTTCCACTCAATTCTCAAGGTGAATCCCTGTGAGGGTTCCAAGGGCCCAATGTGTTCCCTTGGGAGGCTCTCTTCTAGGGCTCCTTACACACATGTTGTAAAAGGTGCATAAATCATGGCTTAGCTGTAAACCACAATATTATGTGCCAACCACCCACTGAAGGATAAAAGCAGAGGAATAAGAAATGACAATTCTACCCAAAATACAGCAATGGCATTTAAAAGCCTATGTCAAAAACAAGCTCAGTCTCAGGGGAAGATCCTCTGCAATAGGCAATAAAACAGCACATTGCTCTATGTGAACAACAGCACATTGCTCTATGTGAGCAACAACACATTGCTCTATGTGAGCAGCTGTTAGTTTCATACTACAGGATCTAATGGTGCTACCATACTACAGGACTGAAACGCTGCTTATAGGGAAAGCTATCAATGTTCCAAAGAGTCCACAGACTCCATCCAACTGTTTCGAAAGGCATAGCTTAAGATGAAAGACAGGCCCAAATACACAGAAGAGGCCAGAAGCTGTCTGCTGGATGTGATGATTCCTTGAGTAGGACTAAAAATACCACAGTGAGCCACAGCAGGTATGTCAGTGTTCTGGGTGCACCCTCTGTGGCTACAACAGACACAGTTGGTACCCTAACAATGAGACAGTGGAAATCCCAAACACCCAGGAATGCTAACCCAGTCAACAAATACCAGGAAGAAGTTGAATCCCTCAGCTCAAATGTGTAAATATCACTGCTGGAAACGAACAATTCAAATACTCTCCAATAACAGTTAAATACTGGGCAACTGCAGAAGTATTGCTTCCTTTGACATCTTGGTTCTAGCCAGGGTTGAGTGGGTTGTTGTGACTTAATTTCTATTTTGGATTCATTAGACAAATGGCCTTAAATGATAGGCCGTTTGCCTAAACCTAACAGGAAACCAACCCTGGACAGTTGAACAAAATTAGCAGGTCTGTACATGTACCACTCTGCAAATGTTCTCTACACAATATGTTGTGCCAGATATTTGTGACTAAAATGTTTAAAATGCACTTAACATTAAAATCAAAGTATTTTCATTTTGAAACAGGAACAAAACAAAAGTTTTATTGAGTAACTTGATTTCAAAACTACATTTCTCACAAAATAAAACAAACAAACCTAGCGAACTATGAAACTGGCCTCCTGCGTACAGCTATACCATGTTCAATGATTGTGTTGGTGATCAGACAATACAATGACTGAGGTGCCTTACAAGGTGGACAATAAATGTCAAGAGGGCTATAGCAGCCACAGATACACACAATACCATGTTAAGCAAGCTGCAACAGACACTAATATTTAAACAAAAAAAAAACCTTCAAGTAGGCATTGAATCAAAAGTGCAACCTGCAAGTGCCAATCTGATGCGTTTATAGAGCACAGAAACAGAAGATAAAAGCTGTAGCAGCAATTACACAGCATTGATATTACAGTAGAAACCCTCAGATAACATCAATTTACCATAAACTGCAATGAAGTTGAGCTGGCTAGATCTTTAGCTCTCAGTTAGGCCTAGATACGAAGGGTACAGGTGGACTCCCATACATTTTTACTATCGCTAAAGCCTCTTCCTGAAATCTACCCTTGCATTCCTCCTCAAATCTCATGTCTGGTGGAACTATGCACTTACAGTCAAATAGAACCAACTAGTCATTCTTTTCATGAAAAAACTCATTCATACCAAAATGGTGTGTGTCATATGCCCGGCTCTAACACAAATGTCCTAACAATCCACCATCTCACTTTCTTATCTTTAGTCAACAAATGCTAGAAAGAAAACCTCATAATCATACTCCAGGATAAAAACCTGATATCACTCATTAATTTTAAAAAAAAACATCGGATTAAAAAAACCCAGACACTCCCACCTATGGAAAAAACCACTGATATACCCAACTAAAGGATAAAAAACCTTATGTCCCCAAACCCAGGACAAAAAACCTGATGTCCCCAAACCCAGGACAAAACAACGCTGATGTCCCCAAACCCAGGACAAAAACCTGGTGTCCTCACTCCCAGGACAAAATCTGGACTTATCAAAGCCATCAGAAAGGGGTGGGATTACTCATGGATAGCTCGACTTTCCTGACACAGGAGCTGCAGCAAATGACCCACATAAGGAGCGTCAACACTGCCTCATTGGTTCTCCATTCTACAACTAGCAAACAGAAAAAGGAAATGACTAAGAAGTGTCACTTGGGAGACAAATATTTCACTGAAAAACATCTGCACATGCACTTCCGTTGCACTTTCATTATGTTGCCGATATCCTAACTGTGGGCACAATGTTACCTGCTTCCTTCATACAAGATTAACATTTATCCACTTTTGATGAAAACAATGCTTTCTTCACACTTAACTGGCATCCCTATAATTTTGATCATATTTTATATGCTTCCTTCAAATGTAACTCATATGAAAAACATTATAAAGATACAGAAGCAAAAATGTAAAACAAAATCAGAGCAAAGATGGCTGAGGTACCACATGACGTCACACTAACAGGTTGCCAGCATCTGATGGCGAAAAGAGGAATCTGTGACAATCCAACATTGTTTTTTTCTAAACCGACTCAAACTCCCATCTTCTGCTGTGGAAGTATGCCTGGGCTAATATAATCACACTGAACCAAAGTTTATAACACAAGTCTGACACAGTAAGCAGAAAATGACCCCACACATGGACTGACCATTTATATGTCCTGACTGGATGTACACAAGGACAGAAGATGGCTGCAAACAAGTATTTACAAAAAGTGCTAGGGTACAATTCTGAAAGCTGTAGTAATGAAGGAGATCAAACAATGATCTAAACCCACCGACACAAACAGCCTTGTGAATGGACCGACTAGTTAAGGAGTCGGAACCTTTCATGTATCTAAAACAACTCTATAGTGGCCATCTTTTACTGTAAAATAGTGCATCTGCAGCGGTCCTCTTTTCTTCTTCCTGTAAAATATTGTATCTACAGGTCACTGCTACACCTACACATGACATCTGTAAAACAGTGTGTCAACATAAGTCTTCTTCTCCTGTAATACTCTATCTATAGAGGTTACTTGTTACTGTAAAACAGTGGGTAAACAGAGGTCTTCTTCTCCTGTAATACTCTCATCTATAGAGGTTACTTGTTACTGTAAAACAGTGTGTCAACAGAAGTCTTCTTCTCCTGTAATACTCTCATCTATAGAGGTTACTTGTTACTGTAAAACAGTGTGTCAACAGAAGTCTTCTTCTCCTGTAATACTTTCATCTATAGAGGTTACTTGTTACTGTAAATCTGTGTGTCAAAAGAAGTCTTCTTCTCCTGTAATACTCTATCTATAGAGGTTACTTGTTACTGTTCTCTCGTAATACTCTATCTATAGAGGTTACTTGTTACAGTAAATCTGTGTGTCTACTTTGTCTTTACAATCCATTACACCTGCACCTGACATTGTATAATATTTTCTGTAAAACCTGATATCTACACTGTCTAGTTACCCAGGGCATCCTGTCATTTATGACAGCACTAAATGAATACCAGGCAAGTATTTATTTCAGCACTATATAAACGCCAATCAAATACAAATTAACTCAATAACTTATGTCTCTGATGGCCTCAGGTGCATCTGAATCATGCTCTAATGACCGACCCCAATAAATTCTAAGAGAAATGCAACTGCAATGAACAATGTGCCGGTAGATTATGATATTAAAAAAGTGAGTATACGTTATAGGGGACCACAGAATTGGAACATATTCAGACAAGGAATCTGGAAAAAATTTACAATTTAACCCAATAGAAGCTACGTATTTGATGCAGGTATATAACAATAAAACATACAACATGCATAAAATGAAAGAAGGCCAACACATACAATAACAGTTAATGTTTAAAATAAAGATTAAAAATAGAAGCCCCTGTCAGATATGCCTATGCAGGTGGGATACATAACGACAGACCATGTTACTTGCAGAGTAATGTAACAAGATGATTGTTTTCATGCTGTGCACTCAAAGCACAAGCAGGCACATTAATTCCTTCGCTTCAAGTACTAAACAGTGCTAAAGTAAAAAAAAAAAGTACACAGTATATTCAAGTAGTGAATACAGCAAGACTTAAAACAATGGACAGTGAATTCAATGAAAAATATAGAGCAGTAAAGATTACACCCACTGGGTCATCCAAGCATTGCCAGTCAGTCTATGCAAAGGTGACCCTCACTTTCTCATCCTTCCTCGGTTAAAAAGGTCATGCCATTCTGGCATGTTAGGGATATGGTACTGGAGCCATTTTCTTGAACCCAGCACTGGTGATGCAGTCATTCTCCTGCTGGCTGCAGTAAATCCAAGAACATTTTCTGTAGCTACTTCATCACCTCTAGAAGTTTCACTCTCAAGGGACATCTGAAGCTAGGCCGACTAGCAAGGGCACCAGCCACTGCATTACTGCGGTGCCCATTGTTGCTAACTTCTAGTTCTTCCTCCTTGTACTTCTCTATGGAGCAGACACCCTCAACCCACTCATGTCAAGCCCTATCCTTTTATTGTCATCTTTCTGTGCCTTTATAGCCCCCCATATCATAGTCCTCTATTCTGTTCTGTGCAATTCTTTTGGGATGTTCGGAATCCAGTCCAGCAGGTGTCGCCTCTGCCTATAAGTGTAATGGCTGCTATCCTTTATTGAAGCAGATCTCTCTCCAACAGGTAAAATCATACGCACTCAAGGAACAATGCAGACAAAGATGGGCACAGGACAACAATATTAAAGTTAAGACAGTACTGTATAGTACCAGCTAAGTCGTTAAACTGACAACAAAAACTGAAACTTAGCATATTTCTTCTGTTTTGGTGTATGGATTTGGAATAACTGGCTAAAACTATTACTAACATACATTAACAGTGTCTGAGAAGAACAGACTAATATAACCCGAAGATTTATGTGAGCTTATGGAGTGAACTAAACAAATTCCAACGAACCAAGAAAAAGAAGCTTCCTTATGTAATTCATTTCATTTTTTTTGTTCTGTCAGCATGATGTTTAAACACAAACAATTGTGTGTGTTAGCATGATGTTTAAACACAAACAATCGTGTGTGTCAGCATGTTTAAACACAATTGTGTGGAAAGTTCTGGTTGTTCCTCCATTTAGACTTTGTGCCATGGCCGAGTTTTGCGTATACATCTATTTTACAGGCTTATTTTTGTGCAGTTGGCTGTTCCTTGCCGCTCAGGCATATGCACTCTGACGACTTCAAAGGAATCCCCCCATTAGTCAACTCCTACGACGTGCTTGTTGGGGAGGCAGTGGGTTTATTTCCCCCCCCCCCCAATCCCCCACAATGGGGCCTGGACCCACACAGGGAAGAATTGTGTTTACCTGTGGCAATGCTGTTTGTCAATCTCTAGTCTAACGGTAACATGGAAATACTGACACACACACAAATAATGGTCTAAGAACATAAGCGATACAACACAAGATTTTTTTGCCGCATTTAATAAGACACACTTACTCATTTCTCTTTAAAATATTAAATTGTCTTCTGTAATCAAACAAGCAGCTATTACTATAATGTAGATATTTCTACATTTAAAACAACATAAAAGATACAAAGAAAAAAAAACCCAAGAAGATTGTGAAATCTTAACCCCCACTTCATATTAACTAGAATGGAAAGAAAAACTTAATGTTTACTCAACCAGCACTTGTGGTTGGTGGATATATATTACCACTTTTCTTGTTAAACACAAATGATTAAAGAACAACAGAGCTCTCCTGTCAAAAAGTGGCCATTTATACATCAATGTGAATCTGACTATGGAACTGTAACTCTACATATCACCCTCAGTGACAAATCTTAACTTTTTTTAGCCAGTTTGTACACAAGAAATGATTCCAGATGTATTTCTTCATGACAAGAGCAAACACACCCAGACTGGCCAAATGAAAAACAGAACTAAACATAAAACAAGCTGAGAACATATTTAATCTGCATGAAACAGTGCAGGGTGAATGCCTCATGAGGCAAACAGATAGAAGGGGACCACATAATATGACAATCTAAGAAACAACAGCATGAAAATAAAATTTACCTTCTTGGCTGCAAGCACAAAAGCAGAGAAGATAATAAATGTAGAGTGAAACAAGACGACGATAGATGCAGCAATGTTTCAAATATCAAAGTAAACATAGTAACAATCTAACCTGGTTATCCAACCCACAGGAGCAGATGTTCACTCACTCTAGATGAAATCAACATATGTTGAACAATGACTGTGGTTATTTTTTGTGGTCTGTGTGGAAGCCGCTCACTTCCGTTATTTCACAGTACTATTCTAATGCCGCACTATAAATAACAAATATGATTTCTTGCAAAGTCAATGTTCTATCTCAACTGATTCCAGCAAACAGGAATTTTCCTTCTCACAATAAAATATAACGCGACTCCTCAAATATTTATCATAAATGTGTTGCCCTCATGACATATGTGTTGTTAGTTACCTATAGCCCTGTTACGAGCAAGCACACAAGTAAGAAGAAAATATGATACATGCAGACTGAACAATTTCAAAGAATTATCAGTGTTTCAGGTCATACATTTATTTCCCTCAGGCAGTCAGAAACGTCTGAAGCCAACAGAGAAAGAAAACTTTATTACACCATTTTCATGTTTTGCTAAACATTACATCACAACAGATGATCAAAAAAAAGTCTAGACACTCATTAGAAGGTCAGGACCAGGACAACTAAACAATCTGCAAATATAACCACATACACACAAAAGGATGCCTAGAATGTAGAGAGAACACCAACATAAATACAATAATTCACGCACAAGAAACATTTCCCTTCATAAATCAATCATGAAATTTAGTGTCCTGTGTGTGCAGAACACTGTTAACAAGTCATTAACCAACGATAAGAGTCACAGAATCAGTCGACATGAAAGAAAAAACAAAGATAAATACAACAAAAAAGAAGCTGGAAGTGTTCAAATGAAAGTAAAAAGATAAATGCAGTTTTATCAGACAAGGCATTTTTAGAGGAACTGTTTTTGGTCAATATTCATGGCTGTAGTTAAGCAGTTCTAAGACTGACTAGTAACAAGTTGTAACTAAATCATTTGTTCTGTTTTGAAATCAAAGTTGCATATCTATGAATCATCTTTGTGCAAAATGTAAACTGTTCCTGATAAGGGGAGGGGAGGGGCGCAGCATTGCCTGGATTCGACAGCGAACAATATAATCTGATTAGTGTTACATGTGGTGTGTGGTGTGAGTACAGTAAATTAATTTGACTTTCAGTGGGCATTAGTTCTATTTTTGTGTGTGATTTTTAAAACGGTTTACTGGGCTTCATCTGCGAAAGCTGTCACTGAAAGAGTTAACAGATCTAATCAGAATGTAAATATTTTTATATGAACAGAAAACTCAATTTATAAAATAACAGACACAGCTGAAGAATGACATTACACGGCACCAGCCTCCAGAAAGCTGCCATCACAACTTCCACAGACTCATCCAGTCAGCACAGCAAGATTCACATTTTGAAAATAATCAAAGATTATGAAATGTGTAAGATTGTATGAGTTCATACACAAATGTTGAATTTAACAGGCACAACACAGATACATAAAGCGCCACTTGATTCTTTAACTTGACATAAGAAGTTTTGAATGTAATAAATGTGATAGATAACATAAAGTTCCACATATATCTGATGTCACATGCAGGAAAGTGTTGAATGTAATACAGGCAATACAAATGTAATAAAGTGCCACATATATCTTGATATCACACACAGAAATTGCTGAATTTATTAGGTACTGATCCAGAAAATATAAAGTGTACCACGTGAGAATAGCTGAATGTAAGATACAATAGTTAGTTGAGTATCCTTTACAGGAAGTTGCAGAACCAATCCCAGCATTTTTTAGCTGTTGTGTTTTTTGTAGGCAAATTCACGTCTAGTAGTTTGCCATTGTTTTCTGGACGGTCGGCTTCTCGACACCACTTTCGAAACCATAACAAGGTGCAAGGCCCGCACTTGGGATCGAACCCAGCACTACAAAGCTAGTTCGCAACGCCTTAAGCCACAGACTCAACAATACAGAAGCAAAAAGTCTCACATGATTCCTTGACTTTACGAGTTGTTAAATGTAGCAAATATAGACATGCTACAAGGAACCTGCTATACTTCATTACTTCAAAACTGAGGTGGCACATGCTGATGATTCTACAAGAACCATTTCTGTTCTTTTTCACTGATTTAATTTCCCCCCTCCAGGATAGGATTCTATAAAATCAACATTTCAAGAATGAGAATCACACAGGTACAAATCCCAGAAATCCTGTCACTCAGTTTTATACTGGGGTACCCAACAGTCAGAAGCAGCCTGCAGTCTATGGTGGGTGAGTATTAAAAACAAATTCTTAAGTTTCTACCTGTTATCCCCCCCCCCGCGCGAGAAGTCAGCAGAGTTTACTTCTCAAATGTAAGCGCAGGTAAAGGTCCAACAAGGAATCAGTCGAGCAGGTGCCACCTCCACAATGGTTGGCTGCAACTATATCCACACACTCCAACAAGACATAACACAGTGGTATTATTCATACAGTTGCAATAACAAGTTCAAGAATACAGAGACTTCATAGGTATCAAGTATGACATACTCTGACATGGTTCATATCGGCAATACAAACAGGAACAAAATAACCATGCAAAGAACTGTCTTGATGAATATGTTTAAAAAGGTTACACAGAAATAACAACACACTTTAATACAAAGTCAAAGAAAGTTTCCACACACATGTAAGTACAAAGCAAAGAGATGGGCTCAGTAACATAAAAACATCTAAATTACTTTGTGTTTTTTTTAAACATTTTATATTATAAGACATTTCAACTTGATTCCTAGCAAAAAGAATGATTAACACTGGGAGAACCAGCTTACATTTTAGTGGAGGGCTGTTTTTCCCAGCCTGCCACAATTGTTTATGAATAGCGATAATATGGACTTGCATTTGAGGCACAAATCTGTGAGTGTATACCCTTTCTTCTCTTCCTCCAAGTGTTGACGAGGAAAATGTAATGATTTATGTCCTCTTTCCAAATCACTATACAAGTCTGTCCTTATTTCCTCAAGCCTGTCCTTGATGCCATCTTTTATTGCATGCTGAATTCTCGTAGACATACAGACTTTCTCAGAATTCTCCTGGGAACATAAGCAATTCTACAAATGGCAGTAACAGATTAGTACGCTATTCTTCACATTAGTCAGAACCAACAGCTAAATGACAGAAAACAATGCAAAGTTCTGCCCAGATATACATACATACTAAAAGCAAACTTAATAAAAACCTTATAAAAACACTACAGTATTACTCCACATTGTCAGTTTCTCAATCCATTGACAGAATTTTATAGCTACTCTACTGATGTACACCACTAGTACAATCTTTTATTGCATACAAAACAAACATGCCATAATAACTCACAACATTCAAACTGCAATATCAATATTAACAATTATTTCCAACACATTTTATGTCTCCATTTTTATTGTTGTTTTTCTTCAAAGTATGCTTAGGAAAACATAACATGACATAAAAAAATAAAGTATCAAATGTAACAAATTCATGTATTATTATTATACACATATTAAACAGAACAATTCTCTGACAGGCTGCATACAATATATCACACATACATAACAGTTTGCATGACAAAAAAAAACAATGTATATATTTTTTTTTAACTTTGGATCATTGTATTCATTAAGCAATAAAAGTAAAATGACAGATATACACATTAAAGGATAATGAATAAACAACATAACTCATTTTCAAAATGTCAAGAAACAAACTGGAAAATCTGAAAAGCAGAGGCGGGTATAGGACTAGAGTCAAGTCCACCATTACAAGATGGCAAAGACAGCTGAGAGTTGTCTGTGCCTGCCTCTGACTCACAAGCTACTGAGTATTCTCCCAGCATTTGGCTGGGAATGTTCACGCACTACCCACTCATCCATTCACCTCACCATCCACGATCTAATCTAATCTATCTACCTACCTATCTATCTATCTATCGGTCTGCTGATATTTGTTTGCAAGCACAGGCACCAATTTTATTCCATGCGGATGGACTAATGTCATCCCCACAACCCAACCCCGGTTACGCCCTATAGGCCAACCCCTCCCTCCCTCATTAGACACTCAGTGTACGATGTTGGCGTCTAATCCATCCCTACCCGCGTGTTGGAGATATATATGCTGACCGTCATTTTATGGTACAAAGTTTTTTTCGCCAGGGACACAGATGAGTATCATTTATTTTATACATTAGAGTCCCATGTAGTCACTTCATAGTTAGAGCATATTTGTGTATGTGTACTGTGTTGTCCTTTATGTGCTGATGAAGGCTAATCACAGCAACGTCCTTTGTTTATTGAGATCGATTTTGTAAAGCTAACATAAACTATTTGTCTCTATAATTTTCTACTCCTTTTAAAAACAAGTTTCTTATATCACCTTTTGGCCACAGATGTACATTAACCCTGTATTTTTTGTGTTCCGTTTTAAAGATATGAATTTAACCCAAAAAGAGAGGGGTGGGGTAGGAAGATGAAGATGTACCATGCACAAGTTGTACATAATTAAATTCTAAACAAAATTTAATTTAAAAAAAAAAGAAATAACCACAATGCTGTAAGACTCATTCTGGTAAGACTGGTAGGAACAATACAAGTAAACTGCGGGGACAGCCTGTTACTTGTGATAGAATCCGAACTGAACACAGTGGTCAGACAATAAGCTCTCAGTAAACAAGACAACGAGTGCAACCAGGTCCTGAGAAATAAACAACAGCCCCAAACACGTGTCCCAGATGTTTACTGACCCACCTAAACAACATACAAAACAAGATTTTGGTGAACTTTTTAAATATACTTTGTAACTTTAAAGCCTGTTGGCCTCCCTACCATTACTTTTCTTGAGCAATGATAAACAAGGTAAATCTGCTTTGTGGATGAAATCATTAATTTTTCTATTTGATACAACTCCACAAATCATAGAAATTTATTAACTGATGCTATCAAATGTCCAAAACATGAGCAAAGCAACCAACACATGAATAGTCTCAGTGTGAGAAGGGAAAGTCAAACAAAAAAAAGCTACCATAGCGTTCTTCAACAACTAGTATTCAGCAGGTTTTGTGGTTAACCTTATGCAAGCCGTCTATATTTCCCATAAAATTTCCACATACATTTTTAGACCTCAGGCTCAGAATTACAGGTCATTTTACTTAATGGAGCTTTGACCTAAAGACACTAGAGCCACAGGCAAGTGTACTAGCCAATGTTCTACCAATGCTTCTCACATTTCACGAGCTGAAATATTTTCTAAATAACATGTTTGAGGCTATTATTTTCACTCCATAATACAGTTAACTTTGAGAGAGAAGTCAGTTGTCAATTAGCAGCACAAAATTCATATAAGATGTTATTCAATGAACAATCTACCACCCACCTGCATGTTTTTGTTTTTCTGAACCCCATGACAGACTTGCCTCTATAAACACAGGACATACTCACTCAGACACGCTTCAGGAAGCTAAAATGCCTTTACACATCACATCTCCATACCATCAGAGGTAGACATGGCAGTAGATGTGCTTCCATACAAAAATTCACACGCTTCTCTATCACTATATATATATATATATATATATATATATATATATATATATATATATATATATATATATATATATATATATATATATATATATATATATATATATATATATATATATATATATATATATATATATATATATATATATATATATATATATATAGTTTTACATCTGGATTTTTGTTATTTCTTCTGATAATTTTTTAGGTCTCCCATTCTATCATCATAATAATTAATGTGTAATCTGAAATTAGAAAACATTTCATGAAAACCAAGGGGAAAAAGTTTTGGCGAGCAAAAAAAAACAAATTTCAAGCATAGTATTTTGCATCTAAATTTGAGTTATTTCCAAAACAAACATTTCGTCAAATATAAAAGTAAATAAAACAATGGACATTTAACAAACAACGTGAACACAAGCTGAATGCCATGGTTTGATCAAGCAACTCATGCACAACTGACAAACCATCAACAACAACATCGTCAACAACTTGCGGATATATACCTAAGAGAATGAGTAGACATTAATGTCTGTGGTGATATAATGTTCATATTCACTATCCCAAGCGCCGTCATTGGCAATGTACATATGACCTGAATCACAGAATGCCATAGCAAAGGGCTGATTTACTGCTCCCGGTGGAAAAATAATATCACCCAAAAAGACCCCAGTTTCAGAAAACAGCTTGATTTTGCCGCTCTGTTTGTTACAGCAGACAATCTTGTCATGGACAGACGCAACACTCCAGACATCTGTAGGGCTGGACTCCAAGTCAATGCTGAGCTCTGCATCACCTCGCTGGGAAATGCCTAAGAGATGAACCGTCTTGTTGAGACTACGCTCTAGGTACAGGATACAGCCAGTGCTGGGGACAGCCCCAACAAGTTCTGGACCTTTGCACTGAGTGAGAACAGCAGTCTGAGCAACGCCATCTTGGATGCTCAGAAGATCAATTCTGTTGTCTACAAAAGCAGCGCACACAATGACGTCGTCTCGAACGTAGCCCAGTCCATAATATTGGGATTCTGTCTTGATGTCTTGGAGAAACTCCAGCCTTTTCTTGGATACTCGTATTATACTGAGAACCTTCCCTTCCCGACTCAAAACAATCTTTTCTTTGTTCAGCCGGCTCATGTAGTAGGGTCGTGACAACTCCAGTCGAGTGACCAGACTGTGGGACAGTCCGCCGCTGGCAGCGTCTGAGGTGACATTGTACAGCTTCAGGCAACTGTTGATTATGTCGACCACCACCACACAACTGATGCTCTCCATGACCACAAGTGAGCTGACACCTGCCTTGTGCTTGTCCCCTGGAGCCTGTGGGCTGAATGTGCCAATTTTGGTCACTCTGGAGTTCTTGTTAATTATTCTTTTATCCACTATCTTTTTGGTGGAACTATCTCCATTCTGCAGCACTTTATCACTAGGTGATCCTTCTTTCACTTTCTCTGTTTGAGTATCTTCCTTTGGAGTCTCTTTCTGAGGCTCCTGCTTTACCTGCTGGACTTTATTTTGTTGCTGTTTCCGTTTCTTCTGCTGCTGCAGCTGCAGATGCCTGTTGTGCTGCTGCTGTTTTTGAGCGTTTTGAAACTGGACTGCCCTTGCCATTTTTGACTCTGGGCCTTGAAACTGCTGCTGGCGCTGCTGTTGCATAAAGGCATTGATCAGCAACTGAAACTGCTGCTGAAACCGATCATGCTGTTGGTTCTGCTTTTGGGACACCATCTGTTTCAGTCTTTCCGTTTCCTGCATGAGCTGTTGAAGCTGCAGATTATGGCTTGTGGCGAGCTGCATTTGCTGGATCTTCTGAGCCATCTCGTTCAACTGTTGTTCAAGTGTGCCCCGACTACCTGGCCGACTACCCAGCAATCCTGCCTGGTTCTGCACAAAACCAGAACCTCCAGTGCCTTGCTGGAGTGAGTAGGCTAAGCCAGGTTTAGACCCCAGTAAGTGCTCAGCTTTCTTAGCTCCCTTGGCTTGGTCCTGTTGAAACTGGTACATCTTAGACTGCTTCATTTGGTTGTTGATGTTGCTTCTGGCCTGTTGGTTCATGGAAGCCAACACAGAGTTCTGGACAAAATCCAGTGAAGATGCACGGGGCTGCGAGCCGGAGAAATTGAAATTCACGTTGCCAAAACCTGATCGATTCCCTGCTGCCATAGGATTGCGGGATTGCCCAAAATTAGTCAGTGGATGTTGCTTCTGTCCTCCTGCATTAAAGGCAGAAAATCTAAAAGGAATCTGTGAATTGGGTCCTGGCATAGGGAGGACATTTGGTCGGGGTCCTAGCAACCCTGGTTGGGTTAAAAATGGAACAGTTGCAGGACGAGGGACTCCTTTAAATTGGAAGATATCCTGCTTCTTGTCAAGTGAGCTCTGCATTCCTAGTGCATTTCTTTTCATAGGTGCATTCGGGCCTGAGTTTGGTCTGCTGGCAAAGAAATCTGCATTTGCTCTGTTGCGGACATCTTTAGCAGGACCAGTGCCATTCCAGATGGATTTATTAAATCCAACTTTGATATTTTGTGTGGCTTTTTTCATCTTATTAGACTTCCCTGGTTGTGCCTTTTGGTTTTTTCCACCAGGTCTAGCTTCAGACTCATCTGAAGAAACCGAACAACTGCCCTCCAAACTTGAATCTGAATCACTTGGATGACCACCTGCAGCATCTTCACTATCGGCCAATAATGACTTCATACTGTTGGCAACAATCTCTTTCTTCTTCAAAAACACATCACTGTCCCACTGCTTTTTCACAAGGGACAGTCTGCCAATCTCCCCGACAATACGATTTATGTCTGATTTGGAAACATCAGCCTGAAAGCAATTACAAAGATCAATGCATGAATTCAAGTCCCTACCCAGCTTTGAGAAGCGGTCGCTCATTTTTCTGCAATACTTCTCTTGCGTTTTAAAACGACCCCAATTGTGTTCAGTGAAATTATTGGTAATTTTGTCCAGGTCCTCTTCAATCTCAGAAAGAAGTGACCTGAAGACATTTGTCCGCCCGGCACTCTGGACAAGCTCGTCAGTGAGTCTGGTCTGACATTCTTCCACAGCAGCTGTCAGCCTGGCGGCTGCATCCTTAATCATCTGTGACTTTCTCTGCTGGGCCTGCAAGTCAACAGAAAGATCAATAAGGCATAAGTGACCATAAGTACAAATAAGGTATAAGTGTACAGAAGGATAAATAAAGTGAAAGTGAACAGAAGGATAAATAAATTATAAGTGAACAGAAGGATAAATAAAGTGTAAGAGAACATAAGTGTTCAGAAGGATAAAGTATAAGTGTACAGAAGGATAAATAAAGTATAAGTGTTCACAAGGATGTGTAAGTGAACATAAGGATATATAAAGTGTAAGTGTACAAAAGGATAAACAAAGTATCCCTGTACAAACATTCTACAGGAAAATCTAGACATCATTATCAGGTGCCTTGCCAACTGGCATGGGCGATCATGCCTCTCCCTAATCCACCATCTCCTGCAGCATGTATCAGTTCATGTGCCGACACACCTCCATGAAATGCAACAAGACTGTCAAGAATCTTCTCTCGTTGTCAATCTTTCCAGTGGTCACAAAATGTTCTATTTTCCCTCTTCTCATAACATGGCTGAAAAATTATGACTGTCTCCTTCTGATGTCTGTGATAAGTTGTCTTCGGGCTCCCGCCTCTTTTATATAAAAACAATACTTTAATTTACTCACTACTATAAGCAGTGGAACAAAGAATTTAAATAAACTGTATCACATCCCAACGGTTCAAATGGCAAGAAGAAAATGAACAAATTAATGCTGAAAATTACTGGCACAATTCTATGGTGTACATAGAAGTAGATGGATGAAGGTGTACATAGAAGTAGATGGGTGAAGGTGTAAATAGAAGTAGATGGGTAAAGGTGTACATAGAAGTAGATGGACGAATTGTAAATAGAAGCAGACGGGTGACGGTGTACATGGAAGTAGATGGGTAAAGGTGTACATAGAAGTAGATGGGTGAAGGTGTACACAGAAATAGATGGGTGACGGTGTACATGGAAGTAGATGGATGAATTGTAAATAGAAGCAGACTGGTGAAGGTGTACATAGAAGCAGATGGGTGACGGTGTACAAAATAAAAGGTAGACATCTCAAGAAGAATCATCATCATACCTTTTCCAGGTCCTCAAGGCGACCAGACGGTGTACATGGATGTAGATGGGTGAAGGTGTACATAGAAGTAGATGGGTGAAGGTGTACATAGAAGTAGATGGGTAAAGGTGTACATAGAAGTAGATGGACGAATTGTAAATACAAGCAGACGGGTGACGGTGTACATGGAAGTAGATGGGTGAAAGTGTACATAGAAGCAGATGAGTGAAGGTGTACAAAACAAAAGGTAGACATCTCAAGAAGAATCATCATCATACCTTTTCCAGGTCCTCAAGGCGACCAAAAATATTTTTCACAGTCCTCAACAAGGCAGCTTCTTCAGCCTGAAACTTTTTGCTCCACAAATCCAAACTTGCTTTTGAATCCGGCTTTTGTTTCTTGATGTGAGATCTGTTATCCTGGATATGAGGTCGCTGAAATAACAATTATCAGGTAAAACAAACATGACAAATGATGGGTATTTATGCTTCTTTGCGTTTACCGGCTGTGAACTCTGGCGGAAAGTTCTGAATGTTCATCTACTTCTGGACTTCAGTCTTGTTAAAAATTGTGAGGTTTCCGTGCAAATCACCCGTACAGATTTTGCTGATTTGTATGAAAACTGTTAATTTCTTGCCTCTGAGGCAGATCCACTGAGAAGGAAATCCCTAATCAGACGACTGTTATGAGACACTTGTTAGAGAGGCAGCAGGTCTAACCCCCTCCCCCCCCCCCCCCTCCCCCAGGAACCCACAGTGGGAGCATTCATTTATTATTAAAAAAAGAGAACAAATATGCCAGCAAGGTTGGAAATTAAACATCATCAAGTGCCCTAATAGATGGCAAATGCACTGTATCTACCCACAGCGTCTGGTCTGTTGTGTTCAGGAAAAATTGTATTGATGATATTCATCCACGCCATTGTTTCAATTTATCTACCGCAATTTCTGTCAGGTGAAGGGCAGTAATGTAGATAAAGATGGAGGAACTGATAGAGATATTAAAATAAGAATACAAAAGGCAAGAGGGGCTTTCATAGCACTAGGTAATTTGTGGAGGTCAAAAGAAATTAAAAGAAATACTAAACTAAAATTTTTTAATTCTAATGTCAAATCAGTACTATTGTATGGGGCGGAAACATGGAGAACAACCAAGGCAATTACTAATAAATTACAGACATTCATTAACTGGTGCCTGCGCAGAATAGAGGGAATAAAATGGTATGATAGAATAACTAATGTAGAACTTTGGGAGAGAACTAAACAGGCTCGAGTGGATCAGGAAGTGAGGAAAAGACGCTGGCGTTGGATAGGGCACACACTGAGAAAACAGGAGAACAGCATTACTAGAATGTCTTTGCATTGGAACCCACAGGGGCATAGGAATAAAGGAAGGCCAAAAAACACATGGAGAAGAGAGCTGGAGAACGGGGTTAGAAAGATTGGGAGGACATGGGGAGAGCTCCATGCAATGGCAAAGGATAGAACGACTTGGCGTAAGTTGGTTGAGGGCCTATGCTCCATTGGGGGATAGAAAGGCAGAAGAAGAAGAAGAAGAAGGGCAGAATATTAGACTGGCTAGCATGCCCAGCTCTCAACTCTTTAAAAAACCAAGTTTTCCCCCTCTGATTGTCCTCTTCTGTGTTTTTGCTATCAGTTTATTTGTCCACTCACTATGCTTCTGTTACCATGTAGTTTTCTAGTCACTGTGATGTCCTCCTGTACCTCTCAGCACGTGAATAAGACACAATCTTTTGCACAATTTTCGACCTTTACTAGCCTTTCCAGGCAAATGCTGAAAGGTCCTCTGGCCACCCGAGACCCTTGCAACTGAAGTCTCTGAAACTGCATATCCATTGGCTTCAGAAAGGAACAAAACAAATATATCAAACCGGATCTACTAAAAACAAAAACAAGCACAAACCTACTCGCTATGCCACTGGTGTATCTGCTTTTCTTAGATAATGGCAAATTTTTACAAGTGTAATCTCTATATGAATTCATCAGCTCTCATTAATTCAAGAAAGGTTAAGAAATCAGAGAAATGCCTGGAAAATCGCTGGTATCACAAAACCTTCTGAGCTGCACTGGACAAAGAAACACAAAACAGGCAGTGAAATGGGAAACAAATGGACTCAGTGAGTGAGGACGCGAAGAAGACCATGATGACCAACAGTAATGTCAGCAACCAGAAGTGTCAGACTGGATTCCATTAAGATATTGAAAACAGTGCAGAAATAGATGGATGGATCGATCGATCGAATGTGAGCCCTTTGCAACACATTAGACGGATTCCCCATGAGGGTTCGCGGGCCCCATTGTGGGGAAAACAAGAACTGAGTCCACCGCCTACCCAAAAGCATGTCGTAAGAGTCGGCTAATTATGGAACTTACTTCAAAGTCAGAGAGCATCTGCCGGGGAGGCAAGGAAAAGGGATGCGTGTGCAACATTCATCTTGTGGAACAGGACTGGAGTCCAGAAGTGGGCAAACAATCAGATCTTTCTGCCACAATTTACAGCCAGTGAACACGAAGAAGATAAAAGAGATAACAGGACGTGAATGACTACAGGAACACATCACACATTTTCTGCCAGAGATATTCAGGTGTGCACAGTCATGAGCAGAACGACAGACTGGCTGCTGCTGTTCCTCTAGGCTACTTAATTAATAAGACTAAGTGGAGTACCTATACCTGGACAGACTGATCCAGCAGGGAGGCACAAGAGGGTCAGGACAATTTCCAACAGGGAAAAAAACAAACTTTTCATCAGGTGAAGATAACACCATCATTGTGAAGACGAGGACTAAGCACACGTGGGAATGTGATGTAAATACATGATTCATTTACCAGTTGACATACCTTTCCTGGAGTCCCTGGGGCAGACTTCAGGTCGGCACTGGCAGCCAGGTATATATGGTACTGAGCTTCTGCAGCCTCAAACACAGGTTGCTTGAACCATATTGTTTCTTGCGTCAGAGCTGTGACATTCTGGTGTAGCCATATCAACAACAAAAACGGACAAGAATCCGTTAGTATAAAGACACATCAATAAAATGGACATGATTATAACAAAAGATAAATTATATGAAATATTAATAAAACTTGTTTTTTTTATAAATGTACTGAGAAAGGAGTTGACTTGAAAACTTGGTTACAACTGGCAAGATTGATGGAACAAGAGCAACGGGAAGGTAAAGAGATGAATACCTGGATGACTTAAACATGGATGAGGTGAGACAAGAGCAATGACTTGATCTGTGATTCTGGTGAGCATCTGAAATAGCCAAATGAAACACACTATGCATATCAGTAGGGCATATCATGATAATGACTGGGTTAAAGAGATGAAGAAACTGCACAATAATGACAACAGCTTGAGGTAAACGATTTACAAGAGACAAATGTGATAATTTGTGTGAGAAATTAGAAACAAGTGAAAGTTTAGCTTGACACCAATGTGTTAATGGAGCCCGTAAGTGAAGTCAAGAAAACTAACATTTTAACCTACCATGTCATAAGAGGCTACAAAAGAGGGTTCTTGAGTGACTGGCTACACATGTAGAAAACTTTAGCTGAAAAATTCAAACTCACATGATCAAATCTACAAAGGGTTTGACAAGGTTTGGTTGAGAGCCTATACTCTACTCGGATACACAAAACAGGAGAGTAATTTCAACCTGAATTCTTTCATTTATTAACTTTGGCAGGGATCCAAGTATGACATACGTTTATTTCAGGTTATTATTAATCTTTTCTTATATTTATTTGACACAATATTTGTAGTTTCTTCAGAGTGAGTTCACTAAGGTGTCAGTTTTTTAATTTTTTGTTTGCTTCTTGTCATCTTTCTGCTGTTGAAACTAACTGCTGTAACGTCCGTTATTAATTGGTTCTGTAAAACTGTCATATATTATATGTTTTTGCTATCAGTTTTTGTTTTCTTTTCTTGGTTTCACCTGAGTCGGCACCTGTGGCTTAGGCGTTACGAATGCACTTTGTAATGCCAGGGTACCAGGTTCAATCACAGCTGCAGGCCTTGCGTTGGTTTCAACAGTGGTATCCAGAAGCCGACCGACCAGAAAGCACTGGACGTAAACTTGTCCAAGAAAACCACAACAGCCAAAAAATGCTGGGGTTGGTTCTGCAACGTCCTGTAAAGGATACACAACTAACTAAGTTTCACCTGACACATTTTTAGTTTATTAGACATGTGAATAAAAAACCAAGAGAGATTTACTTACATTAGAGTCACCTGATTCCTTGATAGACATTTTTAGAAACTTGATTTCAGCTTCTTCAAACGAAGACCGTCGTAACCACACAAGACTCTTGAACTAGTGAAGGTTTCAAATCAATCAAATCTTTCTTTTTATTGGTTAAGGTATTGACATCCAAGCCATCCGCTGAAAGTAAACAAACAGTGGAGAGTAACAACCGGATATGGTCGTTAGATACAAGAACAAACTAAACTAGACTATCTCTGGTCTGGACTGTCAAAAACTAGACGTAACACATACATCCAGACAGTGCAACCAGGGTAACATTTTAGAGAAAAAAACTGTGCTTGCATTTTATTATTATTGCCACAAAGATATAACTTATGCTTGCCTATTTAAAATTTCTCCATGTTCAGAGTACAGACCTGGCTGTCAAAAATAATTTTTTAAAAACATGGACATTGATAAAGAATCACTTCAACATTACTTGTGAGATAGCACGTGTGTTTTAGCATGAATGACAAGTACAAAATCCTCTCAACAATTAACAGTGTTTCCGAATCTCTAAAATATTCCCATCTGGTCAAGAAATTTTATTTTAAAATCACTGCGCTATAAAGACCTCATGGTCGGTGTCAGATACAGCTTATAATGGTCAAGGATTCTGTTTGCGTCTTTTATCAACCTCACCCTAAACTCTCCAGGAGCACAGGCTCATAAAGAACATGCCAAGCCCTCTTATCTTGTCCCAACTCCTGCAGCTGCATACATCAATGACCTGCACATATTATTAAACTTTGTCTCTAGTCAAGTGTTTAGGTCTCTATTTCTTGTTTTTCTATGGGTTCCAGACAAATGACTTTCTAGTTATACTAGTACAGTCCGTTCAGATAAGTTGTTGAAATCTGGCAAGCAACATGTTCATTACCATGTCTTTGCAAGAATTTTTTTTTATGTGAACGTTTACATTGTCTTATTTGCGGCATACGAAAAAACAAGTACCGATTCAAAGCAAGCACGATTCAAAGCAAGCAATCAGAATGCTTACAGGTAGTGGAGTAACAGGAACCTCTCAAAACATCATACTGCACATGTTTCATTCTCTGGCGGCCATCTCTAGCTTAAGCCTCCTAAGTGTTACATGAATACAGTTTTCCACTATCCTCCGAATAACGGGCACATATTATGGCGGCCAAAAACAGAGCCTTAGTCACATGTAAACTGCAGACATCCGGTGACTTAATTTGCGGCTTCCCGCGGCTACCGCCGAAAGTATCTCTCACGCCGCTGCGCACAGCGTGGATTGGGGCTAAACTAGATAGCTAGGACTCATGGGCAAAGCTGCTGGAGATGCGGAAGCTGCTGCTCTGAGTCCAAGCCATCTAGTTAAGCCCCAATCCACGCTGTACGTAGCGGCGTGGGGGATACTCTTGGCGGTGGCGGTAGGCTCCCTGAAGTGCGCAACTGACATGTGAATGAGGCCCTGTTAGGGTGTTTTTGCGGCCGCCATAATATGTGCCCGTTATTCGGTGGATAGCCCAGTTTTCTACTGAATGCGGAATAGGCTATCATAATAATCACGATATCAGTGCACATGTGAACTGATTTCCAAACAATCACCACACTTGTGCCAATTACTGTTCTATTTTTTATGGGTACACATTACTAGTCAAACAAAATAAAGAAATTCACCACTTTAAGAAAACAACAGCACCTGTGTAACTGTAAATTATAGAATCATAAGGACATGACAAATCTGAGACTACATGCCAGAAATGTTTGTTGATCAGTACTGTAGTTTTCCAGATATTTGTTAAAGTGTGAAGACACGACTTCTGAAGGCACTAGTCAGTCATTTCCAGGGCTTCACCTCTCAATTCTGTGGAAGTTGTTTAATTCTCCCCATAAGCTCAGCATTAATGATCCCTCATACCATTTGCATTCTATTTTGATCAGGTAACAGTCAATATTTTTTAGTTGGTCACGTTTTCCACTGATCCTCCAGTCTAAAACAAAATGCTGTTTATCCTTAAGTAGCCCATAAAAAGGGATGGTGAATGAATACATCTGAAATAATACAAAATGTATAATTTAATAATAAACAGATAATAAAAAGAGAACTAGGCTATCCTTTGAATAACGGTCCAAAATTATCGAGGCTGGAAATATACCATAACAGAGCCTCAGTCATTTGTAAATTCTGGATTTTTTCCTGCCGATGTAAATTCCGGATTTTTTCAGGCGAATAAACCGCGGCAAAAGTAGGATTAATTGCGGACAAAAATGTCGCGAAACGCAACAACAGATCCGCCCGAGAGTACCCCCGCTACTCGCGGCGCGGAAGGTGCTTAACTAAATGGCTGGGACTCACTTGTGAAACAATATTAAATTACAGAACATTATGTGAATGTACAGAAACGATTGTGTTCCTTTAAGGTCGCCATATCACAAACAACAGATTTGCATCCCCTAGGGTCACTGCTGCAGGAGTACCTAACTCACTGACTGTATTATATAGAGTATATAGTAGCGACTACAGTTTCGACAATTTGCGGTCTTTTCTGCAATTTCCGTTACCCGGAAACCGTTCGCAACTTGTTTCGGGAAATCTCGGCTGGTTTCCGGATGGGTCCAAATCTCTCATGAAATTTGGACCAGCTATAAATAGCTGAAAACAGCGTGGGGGAACCCGATTAACAGCGCATATCTACGACAGCCGGACGTCCTGTTTTTCTGTTAGTCATCAGTTTGATTGAAAATAGCGGTAAATTCGAGGTTGGCTTTAGGCTTTAACTGTTACTCGTCCTGGTAATGCTTGTTATAATTGAATTCTCCGTCCAATTTTACATTTGTGTATAAAATTTCTTTCTGGACAGTGGCTAGGTAGATGTACAGTGACATTTTTCAGGCAATCGCTGGCTCAGCCAGTGGCTGTGTCTCATTGCCTGCCATCTTGTCCAATGACAGTCCAATGTAAACAAAGCCGATACAGAACTGCGCAGTAGGTTGCGCAGACTGCGCAGAAAAAAACTTCTTGTTTCTGGGTCACAAGTTTTAGCGGCTGTTTCTTACATCTCATCCCACAAAAACCTACATATCTCAGCTCAGAAATGACATACAAGCCTAAATGAGGTACCATTGGAAAGAAATTGTTTACAGCTATCTAACTGTGCTGGTTTTATTGGTATTGGTGTAGAGGGCATTAAAATTTTTTTACTTAAGTAGCTATATATAGTTCTATTGCCATAGCCAAATAATTTGACTGCAATCTATTGCTCCATGTTTGCACTCTGACAGACTGCTGTTAATTCATCTCCACTTGTACAGCTGTCTACCCACTGCTCGACGACACAAACAAGTGAGTCGCCGTCAGTCTTCAAACTTCTCCCCCAGGCTAGGCGTGGTGAGGCAGATTACTTACTGATTAAATACAAGAGTCAAGAGAAACTTATTCTCCGCAACAATTTCGAAATCGGAAATCAGTTGTGCATATGAATAGCATTTACTAATTCTATAATAAATATAAAACAATCGGTATTGTTGTGTCTGTGTAGAAGTAGAGTAAGAGATGAAATCAAACGATCTCACAAGTACCACTGCGGACATGTTTGTAACTGAAACTCAACACAAATGGTGGAAACTGGAAGCAATCTAGTTCGCCGCTGTTAATTTGGGCTATACATTGTAAAATGCGTGTATAGGCGATAACTGGACTAAACAATGTCCACTATGTTGTTTAGATAACATGGTATCCTCACCTATACTTTCGAAACTAAAGCAATGACAATGTCGCAGCGATGAATTGTCTAAATCAACGCCGACTTTGAGAAAACCGTGTGCGCATTCCAACACCACCAAAGCTTGCTCTAAGTAATAATTTGGTTCGTCTAAGTTCCGAAATATTCTAGAAAAATACCAAGATTTGGTAGGATAAAATTTGGTAAAAATTGCAATATTCTTTATTGTTTTATCTTATTTCACTGTAATTTTTAAAATCATATTATCTTATTGCTTTTTCTCTATGTTCAATGAATGTTATTTAAAAAAATCGTAATTTTTAGGTATATATAAAATTTCTTGCTCGGAACGCCGGACTACATTCCCTCTAAGAGGGAATGGCATGAATCAGTGAGGTAAGAACATAGGGGCACAGACACACTGAGGCCCCACCCGGGAAAAATTTAAGAGGAGTAATGAGCCCTAACCCTATAAAATATGTAAAGTGGCTTACCTTCCCTCATCTCTGATTAGTGGGAGCGACCAGGGCATCTGACCGCCACTTTACACTCAGAGGAAAAGCAATATGGATAAACCAAGACCGATGGTCCTGGACAAACAATCAAACTACTACTGCCCATCGAAATTGGAACTCTTCGCTGTCTGCTGAAGATGAGAACGGAGCGTTTATGGGAATGTTTTTAAAAACACCATCATCCATGTGTTCAAGTTATTTTTTAAGTATTTGTTTATGTATGCCATTTCAAATATATTTATTATTATATTTATTTACTAGTCGGCTTATTATTATAGTGCACATAAACAAGATTTAGGCCTCATGATACCCCATAGAACATTTATAAGGGACTCAGACCTTCTGATCCCCTCGCCCGCACCAATGTTTTCTTTGTGCCACGCTCCTGATCTAAATTTTATTAACTTCAGCTTTTAATGATTTTATTCTTTAATGTATTCCTTAGTGATACACCTATGAGCTCACTTATGAGCTCAAACTTACTTCCATAATTTATGTCTGTTGAACCGGGGCCGTCGGTACTGCTGAAAGCACCGCTTGAACAGAGCTGAATTAGGAACCGATATCACAGCACTGAGGAAACTTCCATAAGTGCTCAGTTTCCATCTTTGGCACCCAGAGCAGCGTTCCAATTCCGATGGCCAATGGTGAAGGTGGCTGTAAATTTGTTTGTCAGTCTTGCATGGAGAAGGCGTTGATCTAGTCATCTTCCAGAACTTGTTTTGCGTGGAGATTTGTTATGCTCGCCTGGCAAATTTTATTTTGATACCTTGCCACTCGGGCAGATCTACTCCGACTTCAA